TATCTATCCATTAGTGTAATCCTCAAATGATTAGAGCATTGCCTTTAGCAACAGATGCATGTAATCAATAATTATAGTCATTATTTAAAAGTAGATTTTAAATGTATTTATAACACATAAAAACAAATTAGAACGTAGAATGTGATGAAGGGATATCAAACATTAATAATGTGCTTTTAGATGTAGTTTATTTCTCATAACTGATGAGATAATAGTTTCTGAATAACGAATTAAAACGCACTATCGCAAGGTTTTGGTCAGGGTATCGCCTTAAGAGTATACATATGTAACTACCACTCGCTAGCTTACGCACTATGTAGGTACTGTCGAGTTCAATTTGCCGCGCTTCGGCGCCGGAATGCAGATCGGAGTCAGATTGCGTCATTATTGTACAGCCGAGCGGCGGTACGAGGTAATGTGAAGGTATGCAGTAATGACAGGCTCGAGTGTCGGGGTTCGAGGCTCGTGTCTAACAAGACAACGATAGGGGCGAATTTAGAATGCGCTGGCATCGAATCTCGAGGCACGTACGTATTTCTAGCGTACTATTTTACACAACATGTATGCAACGATTTTCGTAGTAGGAATATTTACTCAAAATTAGATTTCTTTTGTAATGTTTGTGCTACTCAGAATGGTAAAGCTCCGGATCATAGATTAATGGTAAGTCATCGCGCGCTCTGAGCGATGACTTATTAATCTATGCTCCGGATGTTCTCTCTACGGATTTCGATAAGAACTTACTTTCTTAGTTTCAATAAGATATTTTTAATGTTTCAATGCTATTTTTATTTTTAATGGTTATAAAACAGTAGTTAACAAACCTGTCTACGTAAAAAAGTTGAGTGAAAAGAGAAAAGTTTTATAGCCTATGTCACTTCCACAACTAAGACGAATCTAATGACTTCCTATATTATGTTGTTGTATTATGTTAGAATCCATCAAGCCGTTCAGCTTACAGAGCGTGCTAAAGCAATTGACATATAATACTTAAGTACATATATACATGTAAGGTACTTTAGGGTAATATGGTCACTTTAAGATTTGCCGCCCTATAATAACAAAACTAGAAAGACAGAGACAAAAACACAAAGTCGTATACCTATAACTGAAATATTAAGAAAAAAATAGCATACAATTTAATGGCAATAATTAGGAACACTTCGAAAATTTAAAAATATTTACTACACTACACAATACTAAAATCGACAGCGCCCTTTTGACCCTTTATTATTTGATTGACTGATGAAAATCTATCGTATCACAGAGCCAGCCATGCAAACAAGGCTGTAGTTTTTGAGTTATAAGAAATTGACCAAATTAACCGGATAACCATATTATCCTTACGTACTATATACATAAACTTGAAAAACATATATAAAAATTTCTTGCGTATCGTGGAGATCTTTCACGTAGATTTTTAGAATTGCACATTAACAATGATCAATACTCAGATCAATTTAAGCCTATCTAGAAGAAATTATTTCAAGGATTATGCATGTGAACGTATAATGAAAAAGTTTACTGTATGTGAGAAATTCTCGTGGATGAATCGTGGAGGCATTACATTATTTTTTTTTATAGGATAGGGTGACAAACGAGCACACATTCCACCAGATGGTAAGTGGTTACTGTGACCCATAGACATCTACATCTATCCTCAATAAAGACTCAAGATGCAGATGCGTTGTCACCCGTGAGGACCAAGATGTAATGCCTCTTTGCCAGTAAAAAGGGTCTCCGGTTCTCTACACTCACCATACGAAACACAGCAGCGTTAAGCTGCTATTTTACGCTGGTTTTCTGTGAGAGCGTGGTCCTTCCCCGGTCGAGCCGACCCATTCGTGCTATAACTATACTACTAATATAGTTGCAGAATGGCTCTACCACGTACAAATATTATTAGTGTTCGAATATATTATTAGTGTTCGACCGAAGCTTCGGTTTGGCTTCGGCCAAAGGAACCACCTTCGGCAAAACTTTCGGCCATGGTTAAAAAGGGCCGAAGTTAAACAAACTGTTACGAATGAGCGAGAGCGCGATGGACGTGGCGAAGAAATTTTTATCATCTCTAGATACACATCTAAAGATTATTAAAATTACCTATTTATATTATACAGTCATCATAAACGTTGTATTTAAAAGTTTTAAAATTATTTAAATTATTAATTTTAGCTAATTGTAAAGTCAATTTCTTAGGGTTTTGAAGCCTTCGACTTCGGCTTCAGCAGAAGGTTGTAGCGATAGCCGATAGCCGATCGGCCTCGGCTTCAGATTCAACCAGAAATCGACCCTCGGTTGGACAATAATAATTACACATACACTAATTCTTACACTAGGGACTTGGTAGACTATACAACTACTTTTAATTTTGACTAATTGCTTAACCACACGCTACTAAGCTATCTACAATTAATTTAAAAAAAAAGACACGTTGCATAATTGTGAAAAAAGTTATTAAACCACCCGAATTTTATCACATACAGGCGTTTCCGGTTACACAATAACGCACGCAACACACCCACGCAATCTTAATAGAATGCAGGGGCACCTTTCGTACGCCCAAGTCCATTGCATGACATTCATTACGCAATCGACAAGACTTTTTCGATGTAGATCCAACGTGTGACAACGTCCTTATATACTTCGGTCTTGGTCAAATGTAGCATTGTCACTATTCTTGATGAAGATGGCAGTGACGAATAATCGGAAGCTATGCAGTTATCCACAGAGGCGATTTTATTATAGTTTTATTACATTATATCGATTAGAATAGAACAGAATAATTTTTATTAAATATAGATTACATGTAATACTTATTTAAAGTCATTTTTTTTTACTTTTACCACTGGTACGGAGAAAAGCCTGTCCTGGGAAGAACCAGCAAAAACCTAGCGAGACTTTCCTCTTAAAAGCACCATTTACAATACAATACAATTGCATTTAAAAGTCCACAACTAAACGTGGGTATTCTCTCGTTCCAGGTTGAATTTGCGGTCACACTTTGCAAGCCTATTCACCATCTTAGTACCAGACGTCCAAAATCCTCTAAATAAATTGTTCAGATTTTATGTTTTATATAATGTTTTTATAGGATAGGGTAACAAACGAGCACACAGTTCACCTGATGGTAAGTGGTTGCTGTGACCCATAGGCATCTACATTTATCCCCAATGAAGAATCAAAATGCAGATGCGTCGTCACCCGTGAGGACTAAGATGGAATTCCTCTTTTCCAGTAAAATGGGTCTACACTCACCATACGAAACACAGCAGTGTTAAGCTGCCATTTTACGCTGGTATTCTGTGAGAGCATGGTCCTTCCCCCGTCGAGCCGACCCATTCCTGCTACAACTATACTACTAATATAGCTGCAGCATGGCTCTACCACGTATATTATGTGAGAGCGTGGTTCTTTCCCAGTCGAGCAAGCACATGGTAAAACAGCGCTTAAAACTGCAATTATTAATTTTTATTGAGCCGCTAGGAATCGATTTGCGTGCACCATGAAATTAGCAACATGGCTTTGCTAATGATAAAAGCACGTTAAAATTAGATGTGATGGGCCATTCAGCAAAAATCAATAAGGAAACGCATCTTGAGTTACGTCATCGTTAAGTAACAAAACGACTCAATACACAACGTATTACCTAACATTCAATTAAAAGCAAAACGTTTTTATAGTTAAACAAGTGATCCTCCCCGGCTTCGCACGAGTGATTTCTGGATATCAACAACAGCTCCAACTACTGGGCCCAACTATGGCTAAGAACCAGGTGACCCCATAAGTACCTACCCCATAAAATTTTAATTAAAATCGGTCAAGCCATTTAGAATAAGAAGAATTACGCTTGTGTGCGTAATTCTTGATTAATTCTAATGCACACCGGAATTTTATATATTACTAGCTGTTCATCACGACTTCGCCCGCGTGTAATTTAGGGTTTTAATTATGTTGCGCGGAACCCTAGTTCTAAAATATAAGGAGGAGTGTCGGTATAGCGAGGCGCCGCTCTCACTAGCTCACTACACTCCGCGGCCGAACCGATCTGGTCTCCGGCTCCGCCGCTCCGCCGCGATCTGGCAGATAGCTGATGTCACAATTAGTAACTTAGGCTACTTTTATTTTAGAAAAAGAATTAGGGTTCCGCGCAAAAAAATTAAAACCCCAAATAACACGCAGGCGAAGTCGCGGGGAACAGCTAGTTGTTTTATAAAAATCAACCCTAGATATACCCATCGCACAGCATAGACAAATCGGCAGGCACCTCATTGAAATTCATCCCACCGCTAGAATGCTCCGAGGATAGAACTATAACCCAGCACGGCTAGTATGGGCAGGAGACAATTTTATCCCCGGGGACTTTTCCGGGGATAAAATGTTTATGACCTCGCTTAGTTTTATCCATCCTTCAAGCGTGGGCACACCAGCGGATATGATATCCACAGTAGATAAAATAGGGGATAGATTTAGACTTAGATATATTTTTTGTATGAATATAAACTTAAACTCACGTCCAATAAACTAGGATAGAATTGTCCCTTTCAAATGTCAAAGAAGCATATTTTTCTATCTTTCATTTGGCTCCATGCTACGGACGGGGGATATATGTCTAGTCGTTATGTCAAACGGGGATATACTTCTCCCCGTCGCCGTGATATGGCATAGGGACAAGATAATTTTGTCTCTTGTCATGGATATAATCGGGGGATAAAAATTTTGTCCCCAGCCCATGCTAGCCGTGCAGATACGTGGGAAAAGCACAACCCACAATCTTTATTGTTGCGAAGTCGGGTAAAAGTTAAATAACTTCTCCCTAGCATTATTTTACAGTATTTAAGCAAATCTACTAATTAATATTTTATACACCAAATCAAGAAATGGGCAGTGGCGTCATATCCCTCCTATGAAGCAATCTAAAGGGGAGGCTAAATGTGTAGGATATATGTTCATATATGTTCATCAGCGGATTTTTTGTAGGTTGTAATGACATCTCTTACCTGTAAGTGTGAATCGTCCTTGCTCTGTTCGGGTTTCGTGAACTCAGCTTGAAGTGCGCTGGGCTTCCCTCCAAGTGGCAGCGTCGGCGCTTCATTCCTCCACGTCTGTCGCTCGTCCTGTCTGAACCCTGGGTTGTCGAAGGCGAATTCATCTTTCACGGACTCCGGGTCCGTCGTTAATACGAGGTGTTTTCCTGTAAACAAGAATAAAATAAAATAAGATATATTGCTATGTATACATAATTTAGATTTTCGATGATGCTACGAGTATATAAATTAAAGGAAAGTCTTGTTGATATTGGTAAAAGAATCCTCCAACCATTAAACCATGAGACAACAAACCGCTGGATCACGCAGGAGATCATAAACCTAATAGAACAGCGTAGAACATACAAACGAGTAGACGATCAACAATACAGAACCATACACAAGATAATCCAAAGAAAAGTAGTTGAAGCAGAAGAAAAATGGATGGTTGACCAATGTATTGCGATGGAAGAGTTTGAGGCCAAATATGATTCTTTTAATGTTCATACGAAAATCAGAGAAATAACCGGTGCTGTTAAAACACGAAACATGAACTGTAACGTATTACTGGATGATCAGGGAAATCCTGCCAAAACAATTGAAGATAAACTTAATGTTTGGCAGAAATACATAACAACTATTCCATGACGTTAGACCTGCTCTGGAACCAAATTCATGTGGAAGTGAATTGACTGGACCACCTATTAATAAAAGCGAAATTGCTTATGCCGTTAACATGTCCAAATCAGGAAAATCTGTAGGCGGAGATGAATTACCCGTGGAACTGTTTAAAGTACTTGAGTATGCTAACTTAGGAATAATAGTAAAGTTGTTCAACACTATATATGATTCGGGCGTCGTACCATCAGATTGGCTCAAATCCACCTTTGTCACCTTGCCCAAAGTTGCTTCTGCGAAGAAATGCAGCGAATATTTTTTTTTTTATAGGAGAGGGGGCAAACGAGCATGCGGCTCACCTGATGGTAAGTGACTACCGCCGCCCATGAACAACTGCAACACCAGGGGAATCGCAGATGCGTTGCCGGCCTTTTAAAAAGGAGTACGCTCTTTTCTTGAAGGTCCCTAAGTCGTATCGGTCCGGAAAAATCGCTAATGGTAATCGATTCCACAAGGAGGTCGTGCGAGGAAGAAAACATCTTCTAAATCGCACAGTGGTGGACCGCCAATCATCCAGATGGTGTGGATGGTATCGGGAGTTCTGCCGCGATGTGCGTTCGTGAAATTTGGCGGCTGGGATTAATCCGAACAATTCCTCAGAGCACTCCCCATGGTAGATGCGAAAGAAAATGCAAAGGGATGCAACATCTCTTCGCAGTGCCGATGAATCGAGCCGATCGGAAAGGGCTCGGTCGTCGACAATTCGAGCCGCTCTGCGTTGGATGCGGTCAAGTGGAAGGAGCTGGCACTGGGGAGCCCCTGCCCAGAGATGGGAACAGTATTCCATGTGAGGCCAAACTTGCGCCTTGTAAAGTAGCAGGCGGTGTGCCGGCATGAAATACTGTCCCGCTCTGCTGAGCACGCCAAGCTTTTTAGAGGCCAATTTGGCCTTCCCTTCCAAGTGACCACGAAACTGCACGTCACTCGATATGTCGACTCCGAGGATACCGATACTGGCTGAGGCAAGAAGGGGAGTGCCTTGAAACTGAGGAGATACGATAAAGGGGTTCTTTTTAGCGGTAAACGCGCAAACTTGTGTCTTCTGAGGATTAAATTGGACTAGATTTAGTCGCCCCCAATCCGAGACTTTGTTCAGCAAAGACCCGACTTCAGACACAAGTTTGTTCCGGTACTCAGCGACGTTTTCCCGAGAAATATTGGCACGGCCGGTGTATAGAGCATCACCAGTGCTGTCATCCGCATAGCAATGAATGTTACCAATTAGCAACATATCATTGATATGCAGAAGAAACAGCGTTGGTGATAGCACACAGCCTTGTGGAACACCAGCGTTAATAGGCTTGTAGTCAGAGCATGCACCGTCTACAACGACCTTGATGCTCCGATCTGCAAGGAAGCTGGTGATCCAATTGCACAATTTCTCGGGAAGCCCTATATAGAAAAATCTCCTTAATGAGTCATATCCTAAAATTATTCCTTAAAGTAATTCATAAAAGAATTTATAGCAAATGTGAAGACCTCATTTCAAGAACACAGTTCGGGTTTATCAATGGCCTGGGAACGAGAGATGCACTTTTCGGGTATCAAGTTTTAATACAGAGATGCTGGGACATAAATCAAGATGTGTTTGTATGCTTTATCGATTATGAAAACGCATTTGATAGAGTACAGCATGCAAGAATGATTGATATATTACAATCCATCGGACTCGACTCTAAGGACGTAAGGTTCATTAAACACCTATATTGGAACCAATCGGCGAAAGTTCGTATAGAGGGCAAACTAACAGATGACTTGGAAATCTTTCGTAGAGTACGGCAGGGATGTATTCTCTCGCCAATTCTCTTCAACATTTACTCAGAGATGATTTTCCGTGAAGCATTGGATCGGGTGGATGTAGGTATCACAGTGAATGGTCAGATTATTAACAATATCCGTTATGCCGATGACACTGTACTTATTGCAACTACAATGGAAGAACTTCAGATCCTTATAGATAACATTCAATCTGTTAGTTCAGCGTATGGCCTCAGTATCAACACCAGGAAAACCAAATATATGACAGTTTGTAAAACACCACCTGCTAACCCTTCTCTACTAAGTAATGGACAGCCTCTACAAAAACTTAGCAAATTCAAATATTTGGGATGCTGGGTTGATGATACGGGAGACCACAGACTTGAAATAAGGTGCCGCATAGGACAAGCCCGTAATGCTTTCTTTAAGCTAAAGTCACTTCTGTACAATAAAAAGCTGCACATCCAGATACGAGTACGATTAGCGCGATGTTATGTTTTCTCCATTCTTTTGTATGGCGTTGAAGCATGGACCCTCACAGAATCGAGCTGTAAGAAGATTGAAGCCTTCGAAATGTGGGTATACAGAAGAATGTTAAGGATATCCTGGAGAGACAAAATAAAGAACGTAACCGTGCTAAGTCGCATAAAGAAAAGCCCAGAAGTTGTATATTTAGTAAAGAAAAGAAAGCTTGAATATCTCGGCCACATAATGAGAAACCGAAAATACGATTTACTACAACTCATCATACAGGGCAAGATCCAAGGAAAACGAAGTGTGGGTCGAAGAAGAACATCTTGGCTGAAAAACCTACGCCAATGGTTTGGAAAGAGCACCCGTTCCTTATTCAGAGCCGCGGCATCAAAGATTCAAGTTGCCTTAATGATCGCCGACCTTCGAAAGAAGATGGCACTTTAAGAAGAAGAAGATGATGCTAAGAGATACATTTTTGATGCGACTAAAATATAGAAGTAGTTGCCAGATTTTGCAGTATATAATACAAAGTGTATTTGTATTAAAACCAAACAATTAATTAATTTTCTTTTAAAGGCCCTAAAATTCCACTGAACATGGATTCTTCTGTTGAAGGAAGAGGTCATTTTTGCTCCTAACTCCTGGTCGCCTCTTATGGCATTCGGGGGATAAGGTAGGATGTATAATGACGCCACCCATTGCGCCAGGCATATTTTTTTTTTTATACATTATATGTTCAACTGTGGGCTTGTGATCGGCTGCTATGATTATGTGGTTATATGTGGAGTAATGACAACATGATCTATAATTGTTATTATAATACTCTCTTTATCTATCTATCTCTGTTAGTGATTTAGAAACTATAATAGCAAAGACTTCTGTTAAATTATGCAAGCGAAGGAAATCAAGCTTCCTGCCGCGCCTCGATAAATTGAAGCGATCTAAGAAATTGATTTGTACATGCAAATATTTCAGTTTCGTAAGAATCCCTTGACTTGACAAGTCATTTATTTTACCTCGTATCGGTTACAAAAGAAGTAATCTTGAGAAAGAATTATCTTCCTTGTTGGCGTAGTTATGAAATTAGCTAATCTGTGAGAAGCAGGTTGTCCGAGGTGCAGCGGACGTGCCATGGATACTTATTAAACGTACTTCGGTTTGATTTTCTTACAATCACCTTAATTTTCTCTACTATATAATTATTCATCGTCGTCGAGGGCTAGGCAATCAATTAATACCACCAAGTATCGAACCATTAACTTAGCTACCACGGCCTTGTCTTAGCTACCACGGTTTTAAAATTTGACCACTGCACATTTATAAGTCGCTGTATGTGCGCGAAAGACGTAATTCCATGATTAAAGAGCTGAAAGAAAGAGATGAAAATGTATTCTAATTTCTGAGTAGCCAAGTGAGTGGCGATTTTTTAATCGAATAAATTATAACCTGGCTGAATATAAAAGTAAAACAATTATTCATACACTGTCATTTTTAATTTGTTTATGTTGTAGTGGAAAATTTTTTTTCTTTTTTTTTTCTTTTAAATAACGTTACTTCCACACTAATATTTTATCCTGTATCGTGGGGGGCAGTTTACAAACATAAAGTGCACAAGGATAAACATCCAGACCCGGAACAATTATTTGTAGACCATACAAATACTTCTTCCGTGCGGGATTCGAACCGCTGATTGGCGCTGCAACTTATTGCTAAGCCACTGCGCCACGGAGCCGTCAATTTGAGGATTGAAAAATTAGCCCTTAGTTACATTTGATCCTCTTGATGACCAACTTCACTTTGTCTAATTTTTCTTTACAATATGCGGTACCTACTCGCGTGCAACTTTAACGTCACGCGTCCTAAAAAGTATAACTTCAAAAACTTAAATATTTTAGTTTCAACTCGAGAATACCAATTCCATATATCACGATTATTATTATGTTGACTATTATTACTCATAATTAATATATTTCTACGATGAAACCATTCTGCTATTTTAATCGCCCTTTCTAACACGTTAAAAACCAGCTTTCTTAGTCGCTGGACAGGTTCGACTCGTGACCGGCGCGGGTGTGGTCGTACCTTAATACTTTCAATGTGATTACTTCCTTTTCTGACGCGCGGTTTCTACGATATTAATTTTTTGGCGAAAGTTAAAGTATTTAAATTTGTTTTATTTATTTATGTGAATCAACGTAGTTCATTTGTTAACGTTACAGTTATCAAAAGTCCACTGCTGGACTAAGCCTCCCCATAG